TTACCTATTAAATACAATAAATGCACATTTTATTAATAATGTAGTTGAAAATTGTAAACATTTAAATTAAGTAAACATGATAAAATAAATAAGTCGTCTAAATCTAAATAGCATTATAAATTATTAAAAGCGTTGATAAAGAAAGTCTTCACTTAACGGTAAAAAAACGAAAACGGGTATTATATTATGCATTATATTATATATTTATATATAATAATATGTTGTCATGAATTCGTAGATATATTTTATATTTTACTATTTCAAAATGGAGTTGTCGGCGTTTTTTTAAATATAAACATGTTTGATTTTAAGGTTATGTTTGTATAATAATTATTATTTTGTGTAAAATTTCTTAAAAATGTACAAACTTAAATATTAGGCAAAGTTATCATTATTTAATTCTGCACCAGAAAATATACGTACCGAATTGTATCCTTTGGAAAAACATGAAAATGCAACTTCCAAATAGTTTTTGAAATAAATTTACAATTAAAAACACAATAATTTACAATTAAAAACACAATAATTTACTATGGCCACTTAGATAAAATACACATACAAACGAAACTATATTAAACTATATAAACATAAATCAAAATCAAGTACTTAAACCAAGCAAAGGTTTTCAGTTTTTACTTGCGCAACACAAATAACGTGCGCGCTTAAGCTGTAAAATTGCAACTTTGCGAGTAAAATTTGTCGTGTTATGTGCAAATTGTGTGCTTTAAATTTATTGTTGACAAACCTTATTTTAATAATGCTATCGAGCGCCACCCGATGGCACGCGCGTTTCTATGCTTCTTTGGCGTATTATAAAACATCATGAAATTATTTTAGACATGAAGTTAATATAAATATAAATATTAATTTGTTAGTGTATTTTTTTCATTAATTTTCTGTATTTAAGTAGTAATAATATGACAAATATACTTACTTTAACCTGAATTAAAATGCTGGAGTTGATTTCACAAATGATTTATTGATTTCGATTTTTTACAACTGCTTGTTCAAATTACAAAGACTGACTGACTCTCATAAGGTTAAATTACATAGAATACATGTGTCGTGAATATGACACTAGCTGATAAGTGTCGTAGATCTAAAGTTCTTGGAATATACTTTGTGGGAAAGCATCTTACAATTAGTGGTATACATATTATGTATATAACACCTGTTAAAATTTTAAATTTGACACATTTTTATACTATATTTTATAATACCTATTAAAGTTATGAGTTAAATTGTGTACGAGCGTAGCTTGCATACGAATACGATAAAGTATGGTATGCAAAAACCATACTTTATCTACGACGAACACAAAGTAATGTTTTTCAGTATTTAAAACCAATTTTATTTAACACTTTATCTGACATCTGACAACGGTCAATTTCAATTTTAACTTAAATTTAACTTCAGCCGCTGATTAGGTAACTTTTTCTACTCCTATTACATATTTTTGACATTACTTGCTTAACAACGGGAATAATGAACTCAATGTTTACGTTGTTGGGCATCAGTGAATGGCTGATTTCAATATTCAATGATTTGAACCAATCGGGTTTTAAATTGACAAAAAGTGAGGTTGAGACTTTTAACTGATGTCAGATTTTTTATAGTTACTATAAAGACCATTAAATTCGGGAGAAAGTGAATAAATTTTGTTATAAATAAAAAATACTTAATTGAAGTAGAAAAAGCATAGTATTAGACTTTACACGAAAGCCCCTTGTATTTTCTTTATTTTTGTATGAATCGATTTAAATATTTTATTAGTTGTGCAGCTCACCAAGGGGCATCTATTTATGTCCTTAAGTGCAAAATACGTTATCAGCCTGACCTACTACGATCAAAAACATGGGTTACATTGTCAATATTTTGTTTCGCGTTAGAGTTATAGCAAAAAGTTATTAAGAAAAGTTGTTTAGAATCAAAATATTACCCCAAAGCCAACTTTTTTTTAAAAATTAGTATTTTTAATTTTTATCCATTAATTTGTTAGTCCCAAATTTCAACTTTTAATTTGTCAATATTTTGCTTTGCGTTAAGGTTAGAGCAAAAATGTATTAAGAAAAGTTGTTTAAAATCAAAAAAATATCTTAGATGCCGACTTTCATTTAAAAATTTGAAATCATTTTTATCTAAACATTTGTTAGTCCCAAATTTCAACTTTTAATTTGGTATCAAATTGTATCATGAATAAAAATGGACACATATTGTCACGAAATAAGAAAATATTATTTATTGATTTATTAATTTTACTTTACTTTAATATAATAATTATTTTACCACATAAAACTAATTGATTCTCAAGTAGATTTACGTGGAAATTTATTGTGAGAATTGCAATCTTGCAATAATCAGCAAACATGTATTTCACGTGTATATGACGTAGTGTTCTAGTTTTGTATATAAACCCATATTGCTTGTAATGTAGATGCATTCAGAAATAAAGCCGTTATAATGTATATAATGTAAGTTTGGCCTTTTAACCATACGTCACCCAACAGTCCCAATCACTACTGGTGGAGGCGCCAACGATCTTGTACCATCACTATGAATAGAGAAAGTATCGGTACCCAGGATTGGCCGAATACTCGCTATATCTATTCATAGAAGACTTCCTGAATAGAGAAAGCATCGGTACCCAGGATTGACCGAATGCTCGCTGAATCTATTTGGGAACTCTAAGAAAAACAAGGTCGGCGTTAGTTAAATTTAATGTCACGCAAGAAGCTTTTGGGAAAATTGACATTTAACCCATCACATCGCAGCACGGAAAAATCAATCCATCGAACCCTCCTCAACGTTACCACGATCACCGACTGGCACCGAACCGAAACAAACAAGATGTACCCAAGTATAAAAAAGAAGAAAGAGGAATACTACACCCCTTCCTTTTCAACCCCCGTACCCCCTATCCCTAATGCCAATTTGTATATACCTGCAAACTAATTTTTAAGTTAAACTTTAAACCTATTTTATCCTGGCAACCCGAAGAAGCTGCCATTGAAATATCAGCAGGATCCTTTTGGAAGCCCTTACCAGAAGCCCTGTTCTATGAAGCTACGATACCCATAACGTATAGAAGAATGAAAAGTGCCGCGGTTTAAGATTTATAGATTCGTAGTATGTTGATAATCTAAGACGCACACTATGGTGTGCGTTAGCATCGCACCCGACAATTGTCGGGTGCGATGCTAATTGCAATTAGCGGTAGTCAAAGTGTGCTGCAGTACTCCACTATATCGTGTTGAAGTATCGTCCATCGAGTCATGGGGCAGATATGCCGAAAATACCACCAACGATATGCTGTGTCCTGGTCTGTCCTTAAGGCATAGATTCACCGCTACTAGGTCCCTAGAACAGAAATTAGCTATTTATTAGCTTATAAGCGAGGGCTTGGTCCGTCTGTCCATGTAGATACAGGATTTTGAATTTAGTTGGTCTATAGAAGATATACTTCTTATCTACCTAGGCCTCTTACGTGGCCCTTGTATGACCAAGGTTCTTGTAGAAGGTATATATGTGTCTGTCCCATAGATATGTGTCGATCTATTAAGAAGATCGCCTCATTGCTATGTTGCAAGTTGCTTTATAGAAAGGAGGTCTCTTTATCCATGGTAGATAATAGAGATTCCTAGGTTACAGCCAGCCTTCATGGCCTGGTGGTGTATTCTCTACATCCACCTGAGCCATGAGCGTGAGTGCTACAGAGTCGGTTGGTGTCGACTCTGACGGATCTGGTCTGGGTGTAGACGTTTCTTCCGTTAAGAGAGTATTGCTACTTCCCTCCTCGACTGGAGCCGTCTTTCTCCGGCCCAGCTGGAGCCTTTGCCCTCGTCATGAAAGTGATGACGGATACCCCTGCATATTAGCATGCAACGCGCGAGTGTAAAAATTCCACACGAGCCGGGTGGCGACGATTATGTTATGCCACAAGAGCTAATTGCTCCACAACATTATTTATTTCTAATTTTTTTTCGAAATTACCAGTTCTAGCAAACATTTACCCAATTTCGTTAGTGACAAACCAAACAAACAAAAAATTCGGTCGGTAAACAAAGACAAGATAAACGAGTAAAAACCGATATGGATGGGTTCAGGTAAAAACGTCTTCAATGATGAAGTTTCTTAGTGCGCCATGGACGATTTAATTTCAAACACATGATAGAGTCACACGTCATACTTGATTAAGATTGGCCCAGGGCCGTGGCCAGTGGGGGGGCGAATCAGAGCCCCGCCCTGACAGGCAAAACTTTTTTACTGGAAGAGAATCTTTAAACCATTTTTTTTTGTAAATATAGCATCTGAAATAGCAGTTTAGGAAATAATTGTCTTCCTGTACAGTAAAACCCCTAATATTTTATAAAACTGCAATTTGTTGGTCATTTCACGCCAATTTTATCACTTTTAAACTTGGCCCCTTTGACTGAAATTTGTAAAAAATCACAGGAAAGTTTTTATGGGGTAAAATATTTAGCCAAATCATAAGTTGCCCCATATATATAAATAATCGTAATATTATTTAATCTTATGATGCCCTGGCATTAAGACCATCACCCTGGTAGCAGAAACTCCCTAGCTGCTGCCCTGGATTGGCCCTAATCAGGTTTGGTATGTGCACAATGCAGTGCGCACTGCAGCTTTATGTATTCTGTGCCGACGTATTTTGTCTTATAAAAATACGCGTCAAACAGGAAATTTTTACTCCTGTCTCTAATCTTCGTGGTAAGATATTACGTGCGCCTGTGTGTAATAGTATACGGGTTGAAAACAATTTGACGTTTAACATAGTGGTCGTAGAAAAAGTTAGGTACTTAATACAAGCCTTGTCAATGTCAGAGTAGATAAATGTATTTTAAATATTAAATATACCTTGTATTTTACTGTTTTTAAATTTTGTTCTGAATGTTTTACAGGTTAAATTTTATTTTTTTACAACGTAGTTTAAATAATATTGTTAGTAATTATACCAATTTATTATATTATTTATTTTTTAGGGCAAGTGGATCATATTGTGTCCAGGATAATCTTAATCCTCCATACTGTCCAACATTTTTAGGAGATATTGGCGATAAAAGATGTTGCCTTAAAAATGTATAATTTAATTTAAATAGTGAGAAAAATAAACCTACCTACCTGTACTTTAAATAATAAACTTTTTTTTTCTTAAATGTTGCTACATTGTTAAAAGATTAAGAAAAAATTAAAATAGTTTCTCTTTTAGTTTTATCCTAATTTTCTAAGAATTCCCTCAAGCCAACTAAATGGCTCGTGTCGTTTAGGGGAGGAACGGGCTCTGGGCTCAAAGTCCCCTCCGAAGAACCTGAAGATAATGACAATTTGCAATTTTATATATAAAATTATCCTGAGCAAAAATCTTATTATTATACATTATTTTATAAAATTCAGTGAAGGAATCATAAAATACATAAATATAAAAATTATTGTAATCTCGAATATCTCGGAAACGGTTTATTTTATCGAAGTTTGAGATGTACACCTTTTTAATAGTAGCCGAACTGAGTAATCGAAAAATTGCATCAAATGGTATAAAAACCTAACCTCAAAGTTTGTATGGGACAATAGGCTTAAGCAACCCCTGTTTCTACGACACTGTGTTCACTCGAACAATTGTAATTGTAATGTAAGCGATACAAACCCAAGTCCCAATAACGAATCTAAGAATCCGGTAATTTATCGGATACAAGTGAAACAAAAACAATAAAATAATAAGTAAAAATAATTAAAGAATTATTAAAAATAAGTGCGAAAAGTGCGCGTTGCCCCCGGTTTAAGTCACAAAGTGCTATAACGTAAAAGTGTGCGACTGAGTAAGTGATTAAGGTTGGGTCACAACGATAAGCCTACCTGGCTACCTGGATTACCTCCACAATCAACGCGTGCTAAAAGCGAGCGGTCGATGCCAAGGAACAACTGACTGTCGGTTAAGGACAAAGCATCAGCGTTAAAACTCAATATAAGGGCAGACATAAAACATTAGCACCATTCCCCAAATAAACATTCGACTAAACCCAATAATAAACGCCATATATCTTATTAAAGCCAATTAATTATTATAATTGTATAAAAATACTGTGTAATACTGTAATACCTTTGATCTCTATTAGCACGTTGAAGGACAGTAGAGATATACCTGAAGGGCTAAAAATGGCACTTGTGTTTTTCAACAAATTACATTTCGAAATGTGTTTTAGAGTATAACAAATGATTTTATGGCGTATTTAAGGGTCTTTAAAACTTGACGCCTATTAACGTCTTATAAATAAATTGTTATCTAGATATCGCCAAGACGCCGATATACGTCAAGAATTAACTCGGAGCTGATGAACGTGCTGTCACTTTTTAAATAAAATGTTTGCTAGATATCGTCAAAACTCCGATATACGCCAAGAAATAAAAAAGAAAATATGTTTGTAACAAAGGAAGGAAAAAATTTAAATTCTAATATTTCTCAAAACCGCACTAAAAAACCGAAACAAATAACTCCTAACGTGCTATTTCCCGCCTAAATTTTAGGTGATGTCTCAAAAACAATCCGTTCAGCTTGGCAGTAAAATAATTACCAATAGGATTTAAACGTATGACTGGACGACTAACGGCGTTTTGTATAAATTACTCATTTTGATTAGTAGTGGGGGTATAGTGGGGTGTAAATGTGCTTTAAATGGATTAAAAATGACAGTACGACTAATACGATCTTTTCCAAATGTGGCAGTAACCTCCTATCATTTTATATGGTATATACGACGCCGATAAACGTCTTTTACAACCAATACAAATTCAGACGTCGTAAGGTGTACTGATCAAGTTTGCATGCCCGGGAGGACTATATAGACGTCACTGTCCTTCAACGTGTTAGTTTTATTTGTATGGTGCAATTGACCAAACTTTTTTTTAAGCACCTACAAGGTTTAATTTTGCTAAGATGTGTATTATTTATGCCATTTAACATTACAATCTTAACTGTTAATCAAAAAAGACCCTTTAAAGTTTAATACTTAATATTGTAGTTAATACATTTTTGCTTAGCACGAAAATGTCACTTAACATGTTCATCCACTAAGCTCTCCAATTGTCATTCAGAAAACGCCGTCGTCATTCAGGGAACATCACTGTCATTTACGGGAACGTTGAAAAAAAACAAATAATTCACCATTTATTTATATATCTGTTAAAAAAATTTTTAACGATCAATAAATATTTTACCAAGCTACAACTTCTATATAATACTTAAATACTTAGCCCCTTATGATAAAAAATAAATTAAAGTTACATCTTACAACTATTTATAAGTATACATATATATATATACTTTATTCTATTTTTAAAATTTTTAAAAACCTTTCCAAAAATGACGATTTTATGCAATTACTTAAAAAAAATAACGTTTTTGCTTGGCGAATTTCAAATTAATTTTAGGACATGTGCTTATTTTGTAAACTAAAAATAATGCTTAAACGTAAGTTTATTATTTTTCTGATTTTGACCTGTATAGTATAAAGTGTATACACTGCACACTGAATGGTCAAACGACCCGGTATCTTTGGGGGTCACAACTTTTTGGATTATAGAAAATAATGTTTTTATTTGAATTTATTTGAAGTTATTTTAGATATATGTTTACCACGACTTTAAATACAATCAAAACGCATTAAAAATTCCTAATAATGCATACAAATATTCTACCTACTTACCTCAAGGAATACTCTTCATTCCAGAAACTTAAATTTGCACACTTTAATAAAGAGTTATAGCGAAATGAATGCTGCGCACGTTTTAAGACGCATGAAAGGCAGCCCAGGGAACTCTAATACACAGTAAAAAAATTTAATGATTTTCGTAGAGAAGTAAAGCGGGTACGGCACCAAAAGTGACCCAGACAGGTGACGTAACGCGTTGGGTTGGTACCTGTTTTCCAAAGGTGGCGCTACCTATAGATATCAAGCTTTCGAACTAGATATAAGGGTATGAAAACTGGCGATGTAGGGGTGGGCCTGACTTAACAGTGGTTTAATGCGTGGTCACCTGGTATCGGGTATTTGGAGATAAGGATTTATATTGAATTAATAATATAAATTTTATTTTTGACGCCATTTTTTAAAATTGAAGACGTCAGTCCAATCTTGTCTCAACAATCCAAAATATTGATACATTTTTTGAAAAAATGTGGTAGAGAAAAATGTGGTGAAGAAAAATTTAAAAATAAATATCCTACTCAACTAAAAATATATCGAGAATTTTTGAAAAAGGAAAAAATTAAAAAATGGGTTAGTCAAAACGAATTTTTGGGACAGCATCTTAATGCTAATATTGTAAATAACAAATATTGTAAACATTTTAACTTACCAAAAATTACGTGCTGTTGTAAAATTAATTGAATACATTTTTTTATATATTCCTTAACAAAACTATTTGGGTTCAGTCCTTAAAATGCGTTGCAACCCGAAAAGCTACCATAAATAATTTAGATTTATTTGAAACCAGTTCTGCATGGTAATTTACTACCAAATTCCTTTAGAGCAATTTTTTGTGGTCCTAGTGGGTGTGGTAAAACAAATGCTTTATTAATTTTTAATATTTAATCGTAATGGAGCCAAATTTGAAAATATTTATGTTTATTCAAAATTGCTTTTTCAACCAAAATATCAATTATTGCAAAATGTTTTAAGCAAAGTAAAAGGTATTTTTCATATAAAGATAATGATGAAATAATTGAACCTATTGTGATGGGCACGGGGTGGGGGTCCCCCATACTCATGAAAAACGGCAGTGTTGTCAAGTTTGGCCAAAAGGTGATCGTCTAGTAAATCGAAAAGAATACCTTACGTTGTTTAATTTTAAGTTCGCTTCTAAATAGGTGGAGTGCCAATGAGAGAAGAACAGATTAAGTAATAAAACAAAATAAGCATGGTGGTAATCTTTCTATTGAACAATGTAGTTTTTTCAATAGTTCCCCTTAGGGTTTTGACAGCCCATTATAGTTTTATTGATGGAAATTTACTACACAGTTTACCACATAAAGAATTGTAAAAAGAATAAGGATATTTGTAAAGAGATTACTATAATAGTGGGCTATGTGCAAAGAGAATAGCCGAATACCGAATAAAGTCCGTTTATTAAACACCGTATGTTTAATAAAATGCATCCTAGAGTCTTTAATACTACGGTTTAATTAATGAGACAGAATAAAAAAACCTCACTCTGGCTCTACAAAGAACATACATGTCCAAATTCTCTACCGTAATGTTAATATAGCTGTTAAAAATTTACCACACCATTAGATAAGTAAATTAAATATAAAAGGTTTATTTTTTACCACAGAACTAAAAAAACTATCACCGGCAGGCTCCGCGTCTGTCGGTCGAATCCCTACCTTTTTTTCTCCTTGCCCCTAGACAAAAACTTGTTTTTATCTAGGCCCTTGCCGGCTTGTTTACATTCCAAGACCCACTAACTTTTTATACAAGCTACTTGATTTGATATAATTGTAAAGAGATCAATTGGCTTTACAAATTTTGACAGAGACTGACGTTTTCAGGTTGTTTTTTTTAATCTGAAAGCAAAATACTTCCGGTGCTTGACAGTAGACTTTCGCGAGCTTAGTTTGAAAAAAGTCGCAATATTCATAAAATACCAAACTTACAACCAAAATAACTAGACGTTATATAATTCAAGTAGAGATTTTTAAGAAAGGTCAACGCTGTATCATTTTTAACTTGGCAACATTGATTTTAAAAACGGTAGGTAGATTTCTTTAAATGCAGATGTATTTCTGGTTGCGTTTTTTTCTCGTTTGACGGATGACAGTTCAACACACTATAAAAGCTCAAAACAATTCAATTTTCATATTTGATGATGTAGTTTGTGATAAACAAAATAAAATAGGCGAATACTATTCAATGTGTAGGCATAAAAATATAGACGCTGTCTACTTATGTCAAACTTATTCAACATAATTATAATGTTATTGTGATATTTAGATAAGATGATATAAATTTAAAACATGTCTTACCTGATATGCCTTATGATCAGTTTCAAAAAATATGCTCAGAATGTTGGAATGAGAATTATGGTTGTTTAGCTATTATAAAAGATGGACGTTATC